ATTCAAAACGCTCTGGAGACCCTTGCACATTGCCTCAACCAAGTACACCACAAAGAATACATTGCCTGCTATACACTTTCATCTACCAGACACTGTCCATGCCAAATGGTCTCAGCTTGAGTCAATACTTGTTCAGCTATGTGACTTGCTTGTCAAAATGTTCCAAATAGTATACAAGACTGAGAAGGCATGTGTTCTTAACTCTTCCACTCCAAAACTGTATGCTGACTCAGGTCAAAAACAAGGCCAGAGCACTAAGGGGTATTTTCAGGAATGAGACACCTTGTTGCGTAAGGATATGGAGAAGGAAAGCCTTTCAGAGAAGGACAGAAGAGAAGAATTCATGTGACATGCTTTTGAAACAAACAACCTGCCTATTCATAGATTGGTGTAGATCTGGGAAGACCAGAATGCATGGTCATTAAGAAGGGTTGTAGGCAAAAAGAAAATCAAAGAGGCATGGAATCAATATCATCCAACTCAGTGGCGGTACAACTAACTCAGTAGACAGTGAGACCTTTGGGAAGGCTTTAATCCTAATGTTCAGAGTGGTAACGAGAATGATGACAATGACTATGACTACAACACTGGCAAGTGGGCCTACAAGTTTGACAACTTGTCTCTGGTACCTGAATCTCCGGCTACAGGCAATCTCGGGCATTTGATTTCAGAGGAAGCAAGTTTGGCACCAGACAGGTCACGAGAAAATTGAGCTTTGGCGTTTGACTGCAGGCCATCTCCAATGTGTGAGCAAGACCAGAATCACAGATACTCTTCCTAGCAATGACCTTGTAGATTCTGTGGGCAAAGTCAGTCTCCCAGTCACCTACGAGCACATTGGAATCACAAATGAAGTTGGTCTTCCTATTATTGGCAAGTAGGTTCAGATCAAGAACGTGGCTGATTTCCTTGTCGCTGGCAGCCTACTTGTGAGAATAGAAACCAAAGCCAGACGCTCTAGAACAGGCGTTCTTCTTATGAGGTATATGGCCGTACTCACATCTCTTGTTATCCAGGTTCTTCCTGCAGAGCGTATCAGCAAGATTGCACTCCTTGCTGCTATTCTTTGCTTGATTGTTCACAGTCCCCTCATGTGAAATACATGATCTGGTCGCCTCAATGTTCACAATCTCCCAGAGCTTCAGAGCATGGTTCCTTTACTTGCTCTCAAAGGCGCAATCAACAAATAGGAAGCCCTGACGCTTGTAATGAATGCTCTTCTTTCTTTAGCCCCTCTCATCATAATGTGGCTACTGCCATGCACTATGATTTTGACCCTTAGAAGTTCACGAACGCATTCAGATTTTGTCTCGAGGATCTGATCATTGCCGATGAGCCTGTCCACGTAGAGCCCATCCTCACAATCCTTTGATATTGATGTGGCTTCAAAGTGGATGCATCTTACGTGTCAACAGCAGAAACAAGCAAGATCCAGATCAATGGCTCTGTGCAGTGGTTGCATCGTGTGATAGGCTTTGATCCTGGAACCAATGATGTTCCTGCTGTCTCACAAAGTGCTGTCAACAATTTCGTGGGCTTTTTGGCTCGTTTATTTCCACCCCACCACAGCTGTGTGATCTCATGGTCAACAGCTGCAGTGACTTCCTACAGGCGGTAAATTCACCTATGACCATCAGCAAGGCTACCTTACAAATTCTACATGACATGAGCCAGCAAGACGTCTACATCATCAAGCCCTGCACTCTCGATGCTGCTGGCAATTGGCCCTGGCAGCTTATTGTGGAAATTGCTGCAATAGCTGCTGAGATCTTGTGGCATCCATGGGGCACAGAGAAGATCAGCGTTGTTCGTGAGCTCACGAAGTGGGGTATTCCTTTTAGAACGGTGCTTCCAGTTTTCAAATGGAGTCTGTTCCTGCCCCACATGAAGAAGTCTGGTCTCTACTGTGGCCTTGGTATTCAGCAGCTGGGCTTCAAGACATCCAAGGAAGAGTACGCTATGTATGAGGATGCTCGTGATGACTTCCTCTTGTGCAGCCCACATGCTATACAGGCTGCATTGGGTGCAGGTGGAATTGTTTGGCAACTGGCTGTTCAAAGACTCCATTCAACCCTTGTCGCAGGGTTCCAAGGCTGGTTGAGCCACCAAGCAACGGTGTTACTGAACGGGCACTCTTACGTGACTGATGTCCTTAGCACAAAGAGGACTTGATCTGTGGTGTGTACAGGGTTCTTGTGTGTGGGTATTCCCCAAACTATTGTTTGTTGCATGCCACTAATTCACCATAGTACATTCTATGGTAAGTGCCACCAATTATTCTTGATGGCCGAAGCGATCAACCTGGCTTACCT